TTTATAAATTTCATAGCTTATTATTATATCAGATATTTTAAAGCTACATTAAAATTAACTTTAATTTTCACTTTAAATTTTTGTTATTTTAGCTATTATTAAAGCTATGGCTGGTCATTCGCAATTTTCAAATATAAAACATCGTAAGGGTGCTCAAGATGCTAAGCGCTCTCAAAAGTTTACGAAGCTCATTAAAGAGATCACAGTTGCTGCAAAAGCAGGGTTACCTGATCCTGAATTAAATCCGCGTCTTCGGTCTGCGATATTTGCTGCACGCAAGGAAAATTTACCGAAAGATAAAATAGAAACAGCGATAAAAAATGCAACTGGTAATGTTGCTGGAGAGAATTATGATGAAGTACAGTATGAAGGTTATGGGCCTTCAGGCACGACATTGATTGTGCATGCCCTGACAAACAATCGCAACCGTACTGCCTCTGAGGTGCGTTATATTTTCTCTCGTAATGGCGGAAATTTAGGAGAAACAGGAAGTGTGAGCTATCTCTATAATCATGTCGGTTTAATTGTCTATTCAATGGCAGGAGTAAGCTTCGATGACTTGTTTAATTATGGAGTTGAGTTAGAGGTATTAAACGTTGAAGAGGGTAGCTCAAAAGAATTGTATATTATAACTTGCGAAGTGAAAGATTTCGGTAAAATACGTGATGCTTTTTATGCAAAATTTGGCGAGCCGGAACTTGCACGTCTTTCGTGGCAAGCAAAAGATCTCATGCAAATTAGTGATAAAGAATTGGCTGATAAAGTATATTCTCTAGTTGAAGCACTGGAAGATAACGATGATGTGCAGTACGTTGAAGGCAATTTTACTTACAACGAAGTAGCGGAATAATATTTGATAACAATTTTATTATTTCAAATTTAGGAAAAAACTGAATTTGAAATTCCTTCTTACCTTTATTAAAAATTCCTGACCATAAACAGGTTTTTCAAAAATTCCAGCAAAAAAAATCTTTTAAATTTTAACTTTTTATATTAAAATATAAAGATAAATGTATTAAATATTGCAAGCTGGTACTACTTTTTCTGAATCACACTTAAAAAATCCAGATTCACAAAAATGTGAATCTATCTACAGGTCTCCGTAAGTGAGTACGTTGATTTAAAGATATAAAAAGGTGGCTGTTGTTCAAATGTGAAAGGTCTATTTTATAAATATTTAATATTTTAATTAATATAATTATTAAAATGGTAATTGATATGGTTTTATATATTGGTAGTAAAAGTTACATTGATAATTCTTCTATGAGCGATCAGCTAAAAGCTATTAAAGAGCTACCTTCTCCACTTCCAGACGTAAAAAAAGATTTTGACAAAAAGGTTTATAATATGGAACCAGCAAGAGGTGGTTTTGTAATTAGCAAAAAAGATGGAACCAGAGATTTTGGTAATGAAATCATTGGAGAAAATGGAGTTATTTTTACTAAAAAAAGTCAACTGAACAAGGAGGTATATAGAGTAGAACAGGGAGGAGTTGCTTTTATAACTGGAGGGAAAATTGGCACTCATAATGTACAGAGTTGTGTTGCATTCATTATTCAAGATAAAGATACTAAAAAAACAGCATTAGCTCATATATCTGGTCATGCGAGCGATATACAATTTGTTAAGGATATTTTATCTTATATGCCAAGCGGTGATAAAGAAGTAATTATGGTTGGTGCTAGACATAGTAGTGAAACGAGTAATGTTGAAAGCATACTAAAGGCTTTATTGGATTATGAGCATGATATACACATCAATAGATCATATGTTCTTGACTCATCATATATTTATGATGAAAGGTATAACTTTATGGAAGCTTGCTATGACTTTAACACAACACGCGGTGACATTATAGTTGATACTTCAAATTTAACTATAAGTTGTGGTCATCCATTTAGATCTATGCCAGATAAAATAAATGATATTATGCTCGAACACCTTGTAGATGACTTGGATAGACTTTATACTTTAAGTAGCAAGGAAGATATTGATGAATATAATAAAGATATGCATAAGATTAAATATGGTCCCACAGAATCATTAGCTACAGAAGCTACAGTAGAAGCTGCGCAGAGGAGTAGACAATATGCAAAATAGAAAGAGGGTATTTTTTAAAAATTCTCTTATTTGGCCCACCAGTTTTTACTTCCGCAATATCTTGAATTGTTTATAATAGAATTATAACACAACTATTACTTAATTAAAAACTTTAACTATTCGCTATAACCTGCGAAATTTCAATTCAAATTCATTTCAACTTTTACTTTAAATCTAAGAAATTGGGGG